GATCAAACTTGATCCATACTATTCCTGAAGGAATCCATAGCCCCTCATCTCCCATGGAAACAAAACTCGAAAGCATTTTTGATTTCCATTTGACAAATATATTTTTGACTTCTTTTCTAAAGTTAAGATAGACCTAAAGTATCTAGGTTAGTTCAATTTTGCTGTCCTGTTCACAATCCCATGTCTCCCAGCAGCTGTCTCTTGCCCATCAGCCATCAAAAAAATTAAAATCAACACAGTAATATACAGGATCCAAACTCTCTGAGTATTTTGCATCTCTATGTGGCTTATTCTTTTTTATTTTATTTTATTTCTCTCTTTAAAGACTTTATTATTTTTAAACTATTTATCTCTTTCTATGACTATCCATACCCTTTTTCTTTCTTTCTTAAGCCTACAACACATTGTAAAACACACTGGAACCTGTTTAGAGGTTTTTTTCATCTGGACCTCTTTCACTATGTATCTTTTAGCCTTTTTAACCACATGAAAAAACTTTAAACTGCTAAACGGCGTGTGCCTCTGCCCATGGCTTTGGCTCAGGTCTTGAAAGTCAAGCCTAAAGCTTGCTCCTGGTTGGAGGTTTGACCAGGAACTGCATTCAACCTTCCTAGAGCTCTAGAATGCCAGTGCTTGCACTGTGGCAGCATTTTTACTTATTTTTTTTTTTCTTACTTAACATACTCAAGGGCTTGCCAGCAGGCAGAAACTCTTAAAGGAGCCATATTCTCTTTTGTTGTTGTTGTTCCTGGTTTTGTTTTTTTGGGTTTTTTGTTGTTGTTGTTGTTCGTTTGTTTGTTTGTTTTCTTTTTCAGCTTTCTTAAGCCCTACATGGAAATTCAGGCCCCCATTGGTACGCCAAAATGTTATTAGTTGTTTTGCTCTTTAGGTTGTTGGCTTACCACTCAGCTCCCAAATGAATCACACACTTATCCTTAATTATAAATGCCTGCCCTTAGCCTGTCTTGTTTCTTTCCTACTTTTCTTGACCTAAATTATCCCCATCTGTCTTTTGTCTCTGGGCTTTTACCTTGCTCTATTTCTGTATACCATTCGTTCTTACTCCAGGTCTGGCTGTGTAGCTGGGTGGCTGACCCCTGATGTCCTCCTCCTTCTCTGGCTCCTAGATCTCTCCTCTCCCAGATTTCTCCTTCTATTAGTTCTTTCAGCACACACACGCACACACACACACACACACACACACACACACACACACACACACACACTATTTTAATCTTCTACTTATGAGTTATAATGCCTTCTTGGATGAGCCTCCCATTAGCTGCTTACATTTTAATAGAAGAATAACACATCAGACTTGATAACCTTAAAATCTATCTGTAGCATCTTTATCCAAACAAATAGAAAAGAAAAGCCTATTCAGAGAGAACATGAAAGTATTTCTTCTATGAGTTACATCATGTTTTTCACTAACAACCCCTGGAAGTCAAATCAGGCCCACCCACCCCCAAAAGAATCAAAGAAATGGAACAAACCTGAGTTCCCAGAAATCTTTGCAGAACTTCAGTTTAGTAAGTCCTGACTGAATGTCACCAGAGATCCCAGGAATGCCATCTGAAATCCCTTGTAAAGGTCACTGACCATGCCTTTAAGGTTGAAATCAAAGAGCTTTCAAGATAATGGTTCCCTCCACCCCAAATTGCAGCCAACAGAGCTACCCCTTTTAGTATACCATCATCTTGTAGGTTACAGGTTGTAGAGTCTTCAAATGAATAATTGGCACTAGAGAAGGTGCTGGAGTTGGCATGTATTTTATGATCTGCAGGTTATTGGTCATTGATTTTCAACTGTATATAACTGAAGTCTTGAAATAATGGAATTTATCAGAGGAGTGTCCCATTCACCAGTGTGTGATTTAAACATCCTGGAAGACTCAGGCAGGCTCATAAATCATCTGTATGCAGAACTGAGCAATATATCACCCCAGTGCTCATTCACACCATGTTGGGGAAAGAAAGGCCTGGGATATGAGTTATCACTTATGAGACAGAATCTCATATCTTTATGGCTTACATTGCCAGGAGGCTTTTTTGTATAACCTTCATACTTTATTTGCTTGCAGGTCATTCATAGTAAAAAATGCTTTTACCCTGAAGTTTTTTTTTAATCAAGGTTTTTTACTGCATATTTATCAAAGCACTCACAAGTGTTCATGACAAAGTCACTTTCTAGCACTGAGATGGATGATCATCTTGAGCTCAGAATACCGGGTACTTTACCATGCATAAACAATGCTGAATTAGGCAGCTGTTCTCTAACATACCAGCTAGAAATGATAAACAGGTTAAAGTCAAACTGAGTGGTCTATTCGTAGGTTAGACATTTGTCTAAAGCAAAGACAGTGTAACTTTCCCTTTCTCTTGAAGTTATAATAAGAAACATGGCCATCTTAAGCCCTACATAATGCAGACATTATTTTATAATGATACAATCTACTTTCAAGTGTCAGTTTTCCAGAAATAATTCTAGCTTATTCTGTTAAAATTTATGTTCAGTCAACTTTGGGATTGATATTCTGCATTCTAGAATTTTCTTGTGTCTGAAAAATGTCTGTAAAATATCAAACAGTTATATGAATATCAGTCAAACATTCACAAAATGGTATATTTTATATGGTTTAGATATGGTCATTATTTCTGGTATGCAGATGTTTTGTTTAAATTGTTAGATCTTCTAGATTGTTCTGCTCAGGAATCTTCTGACACCAGAAGTATCATCTTCTAAAACTTCATCAGAAATACAGATTCTCAGTTACACCCCCAAACCTCAGCCAGTCCCCAAACAACACTAGAGAGTTCAGAAACTCAAGTATTGTGCCACCGAGCAGCATGTTTAGACTTTAAAGTCTGACACTCCCTGCTCTGGATGGTTCAGATAGTAGCTGAAATTTTTTTTAAGAGACAAGAATCATTAATGTGATTCACAAAGTTATCAAGAGGCAAAACAATGTAGTAGCTAATATTTTTGAGCACATGACATGTTCCAGACAGTGTAGTGACTGGACGCTTGTTGCATGTATTACCTCGGATGAACAATCAGAAATAAAATCCTCTTTCTGTGGATGGAGACAGGTTAGTACACTGGGGGATTAAGGAATGTTTACTTATTGTAATCTACAGAAAAAAGCTAAGTCTAGAATGGAACTGTTCGAGAAGAAAACTGGTGGGGTTGACAGGTGTAAGGGATCTAGACAAGAACAGGGTTTAAGTGGCGCAGAGGATGGTCCAAATTCAGCTAACAGGAAGGAGTTCCTAGCTTAGTAAACACGAAGAGATGCACTCATCTTCACTTTAAAATAAAGTTTAAGATACCATGTTGCATGTGACTTTTATATGCAAATGTACATATAGAATAACTGTGTATTTCTTTATGGATCTGAGTCTTCACAATGGAAAACTCTTCGTGATACTGGCATAGGAATATGTGTTTTCATGAGCAATCACAAGTATCATTATTATTTGATTTTTATTTATGTATGTATATGAGTGCTTTGCATCTGCAAATGCCTGTGTACCACATGAGCCTGTGTCCATAGGCCAGAAGAGAGTGTCCAGTCTCCTGGGACTGGAGTTACAGATGGTTATGGATGTCATGTGGCTGCTGAGAATTGAATCAGACCTCTGGGAGAGTAGCCAGTGCTCTTAGCTGCTGAACAATCTCTCTGGCCCTTATTAGTTTTATTTTAAGAACAAACATGGAAGGGCCAGTGGAGAATGGTATAAACATGATTGGGAATGAGAAACAGTGGAAAAGTTTGATTCCGGCCTCATCCACATTATAATAATGGAGAAAAATAAACCAAGAGCTATCTGCTAATGAGATTAGTGTCATTGGAGTGTCTCATTGAAATCTCCTCAGTGTCACCCAAGCATGGTCTCAAATGAAGAATTTCAGAAGATGAAGTTTTCTGAACTCTGAGAGGCTCATACTGCTTGTGCTTGTATACTTTTCAGGGATTCAGACAGCCTTATCCTAGTGTGAGTGGTTCCTATGACGCAACAGGAGCCACTGAACACTTTCTATCCATGCCATTGGGAAGCACCACTTAACCCTGTGTCTTTGGAAGCAAATAGAAGGCATGGGTTGCCTGGGAAGTAACGTTAGAGTCCACAGCCGTGTAAGCCAGCTCTTCCAGTGTAGCATATCACCCTAGAGATTAGCCAACTAAGGAAACAACATCATCTTGCAGTTTCATGAAGGAATCTGAGCTTGGCTTAGCAAGGTGCTCTTGACTCAAGGATGCTTGTGGGGAGACGGTCCATCTCTCCTCTTGCTCTAGGATCAACAGCAGCCCCACCCAGTAGGAATTCATTCACATGGTTCCTGGTTGGCTTGGGTCCTCATCCTACTGGCAGATTTATGACATGGGATCCAGAGTACCTCAGGACAAGTATCACGAGAGACCTTAAGAAATAGGGCACCCAAGATGGAAGCCACAGACTTTTAGAACCATATGTTAGAAGTGACATTCCATTCCTCTGCCGTATTCTGTTCTTTAAAAGTCTGTAAGTGAAGACCACAGGAAAGCGGGAAGATTACATAGGAAGTGAGTGCCACCAGACAGGGGTCATTGGATCAACAACAATACCTCTGGGTCTTTCTCCTTCCTGAATACTTCCATATGTATAATACTGTCACTTTTTGACATGAGTTATTTGTGAAATGAAATAAAAATATTAAAAGCAATAAAATTAAAGAGAAAGCATTCTTATATCTGAAACATCAGAAAAGTCATATCACTTCTCATTGGAGCCTTCTTAATAAGATAACTGAACTGACTGGGCAAATGACTTATTATTGACCTTCTCAGTTACGTATTAGATCATGTCATGAACCCAAGTTGAAGATCATTAATCTATGAGATATGTGAGAGTTTGAAAACATTTGGCATTGCAATGGCCGAAGGCCCTAGTGGTGATAGGAATACATGGAGCTCTCTGAGTGGCCTAACAGTCCCCTCTTTGCTTTGTTCTCTCTAGTATGCTTGAGAGTTCAAACCGCCTTGATGAAGAACACAGGCTGATCGCCAGGTATGCCGCACGCCTGGCAGCAGAATCCTCATCCGTAAGTAGAATGAAAGGAAACTCCTGTTGGCCTCCAGTGTCTTTGAATTTCAAAAGCCCCAGTCCATTGTTGTCATTACGTCTGGTGCTAATTACAAAGAAAACTGGTGGTTTTTTTTCTTGTTCTTGTCTTTGTTGCTATGATTATGATGTCTTGGTAATGAATTCCAAGTTTTGAAAATATGGTAGACTAAGGAACACAACCTCTACTGTAACACGAATCTTAAAGGGTCTTATTAATAAAAACAAACCCAGGGCCAGGTGTTGGGGTGAATGCTGGAAGATCAGAGAAGCAGAACAAGCTACAGCTTCCTCACCTCACCAACTTCTCAGCCAATCCTGTTTCCTTGAACTGGAAGCCTCTGAGTCCTCACCCAAATGGATGTCAGCTGAACTGCTGCTAAAAGCCTAAAAGCGTAAAAAGCTTCTAGTTCCTGGTCCTAACGCCTTATATACTTTTCTGCTTCCTGCCATCATTTCCTGGAGTTAAAGGCATGTGTTTTCCCAAGCAAGACATGAGATCTCAAGTGCTGGGATTAAAGGTGTGTGTCACCATGCCTGGTTGTTTCCAGTATGGCCTTGAAGTCACAGAGATCTAAATGAATCTCTGCCTCGGGAATGCTAGGATTAAAGGCGTGTGCTACCACTGCCTAACCTCTATGTTTAACATACTGGCTGTTCTGTTCTCTGACCCCAAGATAAGTTTATTGGGGTGCACAATATATCAACCACACTCTACAGTAGTGTGATATGCCCAACTGGGAGCCCCACACACCTCCCCTTTACCCAATCTCATCCCCGTATCTGAGAACCTGAGGAAGAAGTGTTTATTTTCCATTGTGTAGGTATATTGGAGATCTGGAGAACAGTTTGCTCTTAGAATGAATGGCAATTTAATTTCCGATTCTTCCTCTCACTCCTTGCCCCATGGGGTAGTTTCTCCTTCCTTGTCTGCATATCCCATGACTCCCATCTCACATGTGAATCACATTCCTAATATGAAATAGTGTCAACCCCATGTTTTACAGCAGCCCACTCAGCAGAGGAATGCTCCCGACATCTCCTTCACCATCGACGCAAATAAACAACAAAGGCAGCTGATCGCAGAGCTAGAAAACAAGAACAGGTAGGGCTTGGGGACATTGGGGCCTTGAGTTTTTCGAAGTTCTTTACAGGCCAGTTTAAGGGAGGATAACGCAAGGCTGTAAAGATGGCTATGGGAGCTTCATTATAAAAGTGTGGGTAGGGGAGTGTGTGTGTGTGTGTGTGTGTGTGTGTGTGTGTGTGTGTGTGTGTTGTGTGACTCTGTGTGTGT